AACTAGAACGGATTAAGGATACAGCGTTTGTTGTAGGCGCATAGATCACGATGATGAGCCGTAACAAGTGCGTGTCGAGCGAGAGGTAGGGCGATCGTATACGCGGGTATGGGGTACAAACTACAAACCCGTACAACCGCACGGCGCACGTCCGTAGCCCGTACGACAGGAGCGCGTTTCGAGTGCGGTCGCGCGAGCGCGAGCGCGAGCGCGATCGGCCGAGCGAGTTGGAGGTCGGAGGTGTATATTGGCCATTTCCGCAGGAAGCCCTAGGTAACCTGTAACCGCCATTGAGTTTCCAACTGAACGTGCCACGGATCTGTGCTATCGTCTCATAACGCGATGCATGCCTGCGCTCTGGATCTGCTCGCGCGTCGCGCCCCCAAAACGATCATTCTCGCGGATTCTCCGCTCCCGATCTCGCGCACGATTCCGACCTTTTCAGTCTTTCCACAATGGCTCGCACTTAAGAGCGATGTTAATTCCTTCCAGTAGACGTGACGGAAAGTTCGCTCTCTATTCTCGGTTAGCGGCGTTCTTCTCATGAATATATGTCTTTCATTAAAAAAAAATAAAATTACACAGAGAGAATTTTCTTTTAAAATTTACCCTGAAAATATGGTGATTGTAGTACAATACAATATTTTAAAGATTTTTACCATGCACTTCAGTAAAATTGATCAAACTTATTTTGTACTTTATTGTAGTTTTATTAATGAATGAGAGAGATTTATATTAAAATTTTTCGAAATACACACACACACACACACAATGTTGTCCCACGATTGTCATATTTTCAGGGTAAATTCTAAGAAAAAATTCTCTCCGTGTACACGGAATATAAATAATTTTACCAAGTATTTAAAAATTTAGCTAGATACAGATCTGAAAGTAATTTTGTTGGACTATCGAAATAATTAAATAATTATGAAGGATACTCGAATTGGTTATTAAATGTCAAATTTTCCATTCTTTTAGAATGAGATTCACTCCAAAGAATTTATAAAGGACATTTCTGCAGCACTGCTCATCATGTTTGAGTTTTTTACATAATTTTTGGATGGTTCAACAAAATTATTTTCATATCTATCTGAATTTTTAGATACTTTAGCACAGAATTGTTCTTTTAGTGTAGAAATTTACTTGTTATTTGTATTATATATTAATATATTATTTATATTATATATTATATTGCTATATATCCACTGTGATATAGATGAAAAAAACAAGGAAACTCTTTAGAAAGACTAATGTAATAAAATAAAATATCGTTAGCTACTCAAGATGCATATAATCGCTTGATAAATTATATATTACACATATTATATGCGGCGTATTATGATTTATATGATAAAATCAGAGCAATTTCGCTTGAAATAAGATCAATTTATTTTCAATTCAGTTTGATACAAAGTATGATAAAATTACTAGTATACTAACTTTATGAACGGAAAGGGAGAGGAGAGGAATTGACTATACAATTGGCGGGTTAATTCGCGGTGACTGTTTTGTTTTGCATGCAAAGCAATTGTTGAATGAAAAGAGCGGCTTTTAAGCGCAAGTCGTCTAGACAACGCTAGTCCAGATCAACCCCGCTTTACTCGATACACCATAATTCGGCTCTATTAGACCCAATGAAGTGTATCAGAGAGGAGGAATGCGCCCCGAGCCAATGATAAATGCGATGTCCGTTGGACCGTTCGTGCGCCAGAGCACACGACGCATGTGGGGTGCGGGTGGACACCTTCATTTAGATTGAACGTAGTTATCGGGACTATCATCACTATCGCACGTTTGCACTGGAGGGGAGGCCCTTGAAAAAAATAACAACTCAACTTTAATTAAAATCTGTGAAAAATTGCTCTGCCTGCTTAAATTTAAATATACGCTATTTCTACAATAAAATTGTTTAATAAAGATTCTTTATTTTCCAAAAAGGACCTAATTATAAAGTCCTTTTTAAAAACTTTTTACTATTTGTTATGTTAGTACTTATTTTAAAGAGAACATACGAATTTTTAACTGTCTTAAAATTTATATATTTCAATTATATTACATGTCTTTGTGCTAATTTTAATGTTTTGTCGTAATCAAAAATTTTAGACATATAAAAAATTATTCTAAAATTTCTATATATAGATTTCAGAATTTTTGAGAATTTTATCTATCTTTATAATTTTTTAGAAAATTTTTCACATTTTTTTATACGAATGGAATCCTTTTTGGAAATAGTTACGAAAGTCTATATTTTTCCAGAGAATTTGTTTTCCTAGATTTATATATATGTAAATTGTAAAATATTCTAATAATAAAATTTCTCATTCTGTAATTTTTATAAGAAAACTTATAAAATTTAAAGATATTTAAGATATTTTTTAGAAATTTAAGATATGAAAAATTCTTAAAATATTACGAGATATAAGAATTATTTTTTTCATCAGTGTCGCACAATTTTTTTCAGTTCACTTAGTTATCATAAACAGTACGATTGTACGATAAATGTTTGCATAAATTATCAACAGAGTCCGCCACAAATCGGACAGCTAAAGTCTGTGGTGCATGATGCATTTTTTTCGTGTTTGGTTAAGAAAATGTTGCATACTCTTTAACAATCCCTGGGATTCTTGAAAAATATCGCATGCAAAAATATACAAAGTGTATATGTATATCTTCTCTCTAGTTATATATACTATAGATTTTCCTAGTTTTTCCGTATGCAATATTTTTTAAGGCTTCTGCGATCTGTTACTTCGTAGAATTTTTATCATTCTTATCAATTTAACAATACAAAAATTACTTACAGATCAAACATGCCATGGATTATATATTTCATAGCTATCTTAATATATCTCAAAAAAATTCCTTATATTTCATAATTATTCATTGCATAAGAAAGTGCGCAGGTTGGAAATTAACACTACGTTTTCAAAGGAGTTTCATGAGAACCGTCTCGAAAGGAGCAAGTGGGATTGGAGAGCAAGAGCATTGAATCGTGAATCACGTTAGTGTGCGAGATAGATCGTGGAGGAGTGCACTTTGGAGGTATACAGGAGATTCAAGATGGAAGACGGTGACAATAAAGTGGAAATTGAATTAGGTAAAGATAGGAAGTCGTACGCCGGCATACCGGAGGCTGATTTTGTAGTAAGTGCGATTTTATTAATATTTATTTTACACATGTACGCATATGCTCGTATCATATATTCACAAAATCTGTGTTATTATTCCCGTAACTCTCTTGATTTGTTGGAATCGTTCTACGATAAATTTTCGTTAATCATTCTTTCCGTGCGAAAAGAACATATATATTTCATTACTATTTAAGGACATTAAGAAGCAACTTTTATTATTTCTATTGACAATAAAAATTTCATATATATGTATTTGATCAAAATGTCAATCGATTGATCGAACCTTATATGGTAATCAAAAAGATCATATACCGTTTTCATGTTTTATTCTTGTGAATTTGTTATTCTATTTTCTATTTGCTTTGTTTTTTGGTTAATTCAAGTTAATTTGTATGATTAAATAAATATATACATTGCACAGAAATATTTTTATGTTTGCCTTTATTAAACTACTGATATTTATAATTATCTTTTTATTAAATAAAAAATTAAATATATGTGTATATATATATATTTATTAAATAAAACATGAAATATATATATTTTATAATCATAAAATTAACTGAATTAAGTTTAAAATCTTACTGTATAAGTCACTCATGTTGTACACTTTTAGGATGATGTCGAGGCTTTTATGGCAAAACCAGAAAATGATTCCGTGGACAAAGTACTCAGAAAGCTGGACGAGAGCCATGGAAAGTACAAGTTTATGGAGTTTAACCTAGTCAACAAACGAAGACGCTTAAAATCACAAATACCAGATCTCGAAAGATCTTTAGAGATGATCGAGAAATTACAGATGGAGAAGAGTACCTTAGAAACGCAATTTTTATTATCGGAACAAGTTTACGCAAAAGCCATAATACCACCTACCGACAAAGTGTGTTTATGGTTAGGCGCTAATGTCATGCTAGAATATACCTTAGATGATGCCCAAGAAGTGCTGACCAAAAATATTGAGGCGGCCAAGAAGAATTTAGGATATGTAGAGCATGATTTAGATTTCGTTCGAGATCAATATACTACTGTGGAAGTAAATATGGCACGTATTTACAATTGGGAAGTGAAGCGCAGACAAGCAGCAAAACCCACATGAAATTATTAATCTTACTCGCACTCGGATCTGCCTAAAGCCAAGAGGTAATTCTCTAAGAATTAAAGAACATTTTTTTCTACACATGTATATATACTTAGCTCAATAAGTTGATTTTTTCGAGTGTTAATATTACAATTCCTATTATTTTTTTATCATGTTTTGTATATTTCAGAATATCTACTATATTATTGAAGAATAAAATTTGTCAATACACAGCACATTATTGAAATTCGTGGGAGACTCAAAAATGAATTGTAACTCTTCACGTACTAATATTTATATACATATTAAAAATGTCTACATTTTTTTATTTGATCATAAAAATGTTATCTTTTATCTTTTGCAAATTGATTTTATTTGCAATACATTTATATTACCTAAGTCCTAATAAAACATTTCCACTTTGATTAAAACAAAGGCAATAAATGATATTACATTTAAGAATACATGTATTGTAATAAACGTAAAAGAAATATTTATTTGGATTCTCTGAGATCTATTCTGTACAAACAACGCTCCACATATAAGTACATATGTCAAATACTTTACATGTAAATTTATCCTTACAAAAGAAATAATATGAAAGCTAACATTGCGATTTTCTTAATTAAAAAACATGAATGAATGAATATACGTGTAATGGAATGTTTACACAAGTTCAGTAATTTATCTTATATTCTAACTTCAATAAATGTCAATTTTTTATTATTATAGTAACGTCATATGTATTATTATAGTAACGTCATATGTATTATTATAGTAACGTCATATTTATTATAGTAAATGTAAGGCACATAGACTGACTTTAGAAAAGTCATTGTCCAAAAAAAAAAAGACTAGCATGAACTCTGATCGAAGATATGTTATCCATAACGGTTACTCGGCCTGTACTTCATCCTTTTGTTCATACTTTGCTAATTTTGATTGCAGTCCGGCAATTTTAGCTTTGGACTCCTCTAATTCTTTCTTCAAGGTATCAATTTCCGAAGTATTGTCCATGATACCGCCAAGATTCTTACGTATATACCTATAATACAGATAAGGAAATAACTAATGTTTTTTTCATAAAGCGCACTATCAGAAATCAAATACTTTCTCATTCAAAAAGAGAAATATAAAAGTTACAACAAATTGATGCTTTAATATCCACACACATTTCTATCAATATAAATTAATTTTAACCTCATTGAACCTACTTTTATCTTTTTCTATTTCTAAAACTAGTATTCATAGTCTACTCTTATTTCAAGACTGTCTTAAGTAATGTCTTAAGACGCTAATGCAGCCCTCTGATTGGTTTGACACCTCAAGACAAAACTTAAGACGGTCTTGAATATACGAACCGACTATGAATATTAACCTAAAAATTAAAAAAAAGGATGAGTAAATTTAACCATTATTAAAATTAATCTGCATTGTTAGAAGCAGACAAAAGATCTGATTCCACCAATATATATATGCAAGATGAACTTTAATTAAATTAAACCGAGATTAAAGTTAATTTTACAAGTTTTTGATTATATATACTGTGGAACCAGGCGTAAGTATGAATAACATCTCAAGTATCTTTCTCTCTTGAAGCATCTTAAGAGTCTTTGTTTTTAGATTAAACAATAATGTTAAAACAACATTGATTCCTTGTTGAGAATAAGAAAAGGATACTCTAAGGCATCAGTTGGCTTTTCAGTCTCTTCATAGAGTGAGACAAGTATTTTTGTGAGAGCATCCATGACACCAGCTCTCTCCAGATACTTGCGAAATTCCTCTCGTTTGGCAGTGACAGCAGACTATAAAGCAAAAAGAAATTCATTATTCCAAGAAAAAAATGAAACAATCAGTTGATGAATAAACTAGTACAAAACACATATTAAGTCAAGATGTTTCTTTCAGCTAAATTTCTTGTATGGTTCATCTTTCCTCTTTTTCTCTTCATGCAAAAAAAAAGAGAAAAGATGAGTACAAGTTTAGCTAAGAAAAAGTCTGTAAATATATCATAAGATTTACAAAAAATATCCGAATTGTATGAATAATCCACATGGATAAATAAGGTATTTTCATTCTCATTTCTCCAAGATCTTCACAGATTAAATCACATAAAGGACAATTTTTTTTTAATTCATCAACTGATCAATCGCATTATGCGCAAATGTGCTTTTTACAAACAAAATTATATTTGCGTACAATGCGATATATCAATCGATGAAATAAAAAACCTTGCCGAAACTAGCATAGAGGGCTGTTGTTTGTCTGGAATAATCCATTCCATTCCGTCCGACGCACGTTTTTTCTGTACCGAAATAATTTCCGATTCATTTCTATCGTCTGATAACCGTTGTAATATTTTCCGAAAAGAAAAAAAGCGTCGAATTTAATATTTGACATCGGTAACAGCAAATAAACGTACGATACGAACAGTAGAATTATGGCCGATGTTAGGAAAATGTTACAAACATAAAACGGCATGTAAAATGACGCTTACATCCGTTCGAACCCGGTAACAAACACGAGGCGGACGATCTTTTCTAAAGAATGACGGATTAAACAACTAAAGATTAATATTAATGAGATAATTACCATTGTAACGAATTTCCAAACGGCCTTCTCGCTCGGGATTGTCTCGAAAAACGCAATCCGAGAAATATAGTAGCTTACTAACAGCGAATGAAATCTGAGACAAACGGTCAAAGCCAAATTAGCGCCTGTCTCTTATCACGCCATAAACATAATATGACTAGAGTCGGCTAGATTCCGCTATAGAACATGGGGTATGGAGACTATGGAGTCACCGTCGTCACGGAAGAGTGGCGATCGTATACTTTTTCCCTAGAAAAGAAAATGCGAAAAATTCACACCACTCTCTCTCTCTTCTCTCTCTTCTCTCTTGACCATTGACAGGATACTACCAGCAGAGAGAAACCAGAGAGCCTCAAAAGGAGACAGTGGCAAACTGCATCACATTAGGGGCTCCGCACAATAGAAGGAACAGGGAACAGGGAACAGAGAACAGAGAATAAGAATTTCAACCTATCAGAAATTATGTATTGTGGAATACGCAGTGTGTATTCCACAATACATGATTTCTGATAGGTTGAAATTCTTATTCCCTGTTCCTTTTATTGTGTG